CTCAGTGCATTGGTATTGCTGAGGTATTGTTTGTTTAAACCAAACCAATTATAATACTTTTAACTTTTAGTGTGTGATGGATATACGACAAATAGATGTAATTGAATATTGGTTGTATGTTGTGATTTTGGAATTTGGAGAAGACACAACGGAAGTCGTCCCTGCTCGTCTGTGCTCTTGCCGATTGCCTCGTCATCTCACCTGATGCCGTCTATTTTAGCTGCCAGGGAGGGAGATCGAGAGGCGGCCTCCTGCCGACGTTTGCTGAGGCTTATCGGTGGTGGGATTTCAGGGGGCATGAGTGAGTTAAGTCACCTAATTCGACCGGGAGTTGGCGTCCAAACATCGCGGGAGAAGCCGGGAAGCATGCCCCTCTGCTGTGGAATCGATGGGAGAAACGGATGACTAGACCCTTGCGCGCCGTCCTTCCTGCTCCAGCCGTTGACGAAAAGAAGCAGAGAGCCGCCGCCGGGGATCGATCGGTGGCAGAACTTTCGGGGAGACTTCCATTTGAGGGGAGCCAGGCTTGACGAATGGTTTCTCGTGGAGCTGTGGAGGGGATTTCTTTAGAGATCGGTTTTAATTTTAATTGAATTAGGACAAAAAATAATTAAAATTAACTTAGCATCAAATTAGGGGTAATTTAGTGATTTACCAGCCCACTTAACAGTCGTTTAACGGTTAATTAGACAGAGGATTATGTTTGTTACGTTTTAATAGTAAAAGGGTACGTTTGTGCAAAAAATTAGTAGAGGGGTACGTTTGTTAATTTGTGATAGTAGAGGGGTAGAAAATGCTATTAACCCTAATTTTTATGATATTTTTCACTATGAAATATCGTGAGCAGAATCTATACACAACAATTTGTGTTTTTTTCGCTTCCTCTTCTTTTGATTAGATATTGTGTCCATATTGATTCTTATATTGATTATTGAATTACTACTTTTTTGTTCTGAAGTTTATGAAACCAAGATGCATTTTTTTGAGAAACATGAAAATAAGATGCATATTGATAAAGAATGTAAGGTGTCATCTTCCCTCTTAAGGCTTAAGCACTACATATCATTGTTTACCTACTGTTAAATCAAAGTCTTTCTAACTTGACTACAAGCTACAATGACTTTTATTATTGTCGATTTTTCCCAAAATATTAGGTATCTTGCTTTTATTTTTCGCATTCTTTTCAGTTTGATTTAGCTTTTTATGTGTTGCTCTATTAGTTGAACTTGCTAGTTGGAGATCTGCATGCTTCGACTACATTAATGTCACAGTGACTTCTATATGAAATTCAAAACATGAGTGTGTGATTTAGTTTGTTTCTTATTAAGGACACTCTAAACATATACTTTGTTCCATTATATCATTGAATACACTAAAGTAGTTTATCATATACTGAAAGTTGATTATGCATGTATGATGTAAAACAACTCTTACCTTTGTTCTTCTTAGACGTTTTTATATCAATACGACTTCGTTTGAAAATATGTATTTATGTTAGTGTAGTTGGACGTTGTTCGTCATTTTTAAAACTTCGTTAGTCAAATACATCAAATACTTTCCTATATTATTAATGGAGAACTTATCAAACTAAATAGTTACTTCAAAGTCCAACAACATGAACCATAACAAAATTATATACCTACACTTATACATGACAACATGAAAATCAAACTCTCTCGGCCAAGAGGCCGGGCCATAATCTAGTTAATATAAGGCAGAGTTTTGTGTACGTTTCTCCATTTCAAATTTTCTGCAACGAGAGTCAAAGTAAGAAGGTCATTTTTGTCTTTACAAATTAATTATTTATTTCATATAAAAATAACAATATCAAGATTTGAACTTGGGTCTCTTCAAACAAAAACAACAATCACAAGCAGTTACACTAAACAAATTTATTGCATCCTTTTTTATACAAAACATAGACGAAGTTAAACTCTGAAAATCAGAGGACTTTTCCATCATGATTAGAAAGCCCACTAAGTCTACCGTATGAGTTTTTATCGAGCTTGATACTTATATTTCCATAGTAGAGTTTCATGTAATTTTCTCAATTTTAAATTCCTCCTCTCTCCTTAATTTTTGCTAAAGGTAAATTGGTAATTGGCTAACATGGAAGAAACTAATTGTGTTACTACGTGTTGATCCTTGAATTTTTCAATTTAATTTAAATTTTGTGCTTTTTTATCTTTGTTCTTTTCTCTTTCTAACTTCCTCCGAAATTTCATCCATCATGCAATAGTTTGCGCCCCTTTCACTTCCCAGTACAAGACTGTCATTGAAAATCAATCTTCAGGTATCTCTTGGCACTACGTTTTTATTGTTGGGGATTTAATTTGGGCGAGTAGAAGATTTCAACTCTGATATATCCATGGCGAATAGAATGGAGTTAATCAATAACTGGAGTTGCAGAAGGAGGATTAGAAATTAAATTTTTTGGTTGAATCATATGCCTCTTGAGATAGAAATTTTGTTGTAACGGAGAGTGGTGGCTATTGGATCGTTAGGTTTATGGTTTTTGCAACTGTCACAACTTTTTTTCTATCTTAAAACGAGGAATCATTGATTGATTGTTTGAAGTAGGTCGCTTCTTTATTCAACCTACTGGAACTGATTGATAAGGAGTGTCTAATTTTGCGCCTTATTACTTTGATCGACTTGATTCGTATATTGGAGGTAACCCTGATTTTCTCAAGTTGTGATGGTCCACTCTTAGTTGAGTTCTTAGTATATAGATGACTTGAATCAACAACTCTCCATTTCTTTTTGATTAGTGACATATTGTTTCTAAAAGGAGAGCATTAATCCCTTTATATAGAATTGTGAGGTTTAAGATTTAGTTTCAAACTATCTATGGGTCGTGTGGAAATTTCAGTAAGCTTTTATATTCTATCTTTCTTGACCATCAACTAACCAATAGCATTTTAACGGGGACTCGTTTGTTTGTTGGATTAGAAAATAAAGGATTTGAGTTTTGAAAACCTTTGGATTTATGATGGATTTATTGCATTTTGTATTTGAAAGATAACATTGTTTGTTTAGTTGAAATTTTGTCATGGATTTAGTTCATTTGGTATTTGGGTCTCAAAAAATTGCCCTCCATAATGTGGTATTTGCAAATACAAAATGAAATGTGGTATTTGCAAATACGTGGGGTCCACGGATTTGGAGCTAAAAAAAAGATCCAAATCCGTGGACCCCACGGATTTGGATACCTCAACAAACATTGTTCTTTTATCAAATACAACATGCTTGGTATTTGGGTGTCAAATACAACACCCAAATCCTAACATTATGAAAATGGGATCAATGATACATTTTTATATTCTTAAATGATTATGATATTTTCCGAATGTTCGACATATATATTATTTCTTTATGTATCATCTCGATCGAATGATTATCAATAAGATTAAACGGGTTAATAGGTTTAAAAGTAACATAAAAATATAAATAATCAAATATGAGCATTCCGGCCAAAGAGCCGGGTTATAACCTAGTTAGGACAACAACTTATTCATGATGAATTATCTCAAGTAATGGTGGAGACAAAAGTGCATCAGTAATATCCGTTAGTTATTTGGTTATGAATCTAGTTTTGTTTCTACCAGTTGCAACTATAAGTGTAGAACAAACATTTCTAGCTTGAGTTATAATAAGAACAAGTTTCAAAGTTGAATTACGGATCAATTTGCTGACTGTTTACTGGGATACATTGAAAGAGATTTACTTAAGATTGTACACAACGAATATATTTTGCGTTTCTTTCAAAATATGAACACTTGTCGTGGTTGTCTATGCAAACAATAATTATATTAGTTGGTTATTCTTTATCTATCAATGAATCATTTCGACATTATTAGTTTCAATTTTTTTATTTTTTTATTTTTTATTTATATATTTGTATTATGAAATGAAGATAGGGGTAGTTTCAAATCCTACATCCGACACTGATCAAATCCCCCAATTCATTTCCGCCTACCTCCGTCACCACTCTCCTACCAGCTCCTCTCTCTTGACTCGACACCATGTGAACCAAACCGTCATCTCTCACACGTCCGACATCGCCGCCGTTGCCGCCGCCTCTGTGCAACAGACAATTGGATTGGGGAAAGGATTGCTCAAAACTCCACAAGACCAAAGGGAAGTAGGGAAAGGGGGGTCGATTTGGGATGACTGATGAGAGATTATTAGATTAAAAAGAATTAGTCTTTTTCTTAAGAGTTGTGAAAGAGTGAGCTGGAAATCGTTAAAAATTTTATTATATTTTATTTATGATTCTTAATTGCCATATCACAACTATTAGAGTTGAATGCCACGTAGGGTAAAGTTAATAGAGTTGGACAAAGAGTGACTAATAGTGAAACGAAAATGTGAAATTAGTGAACACGAACGAAATTAAATATTTCTGATGACCAAACATGATTTTTTTTTTTTGGTAATCAAAGTGACCAGCCTTGCTATTTACGAGATGTAGTTGATTTGCAATTGTTTGAAGATAAATTGTTAAAACTGATGATGTGGTTGTAGGAAAAATTGCTAGGATGGAAATGGTCACTAGTCACTACACGATTTGACCAAATCAAGGTTGTCAATCCGCGGGTTGACCCATGGGTCGACCCAATTTGACCCTGACCTGATGAGAAAAACGGGTCGCACGCACCCGCCGGGCCGACCGCTATTAGGTACCGGGTTGGAGGTCAAATTGTGTCATTTTTTTTTAGTTTGCGAAATGCGCCTATTTTCCAATTTTTCTTTTCGTCTAACTCAATCTTTGGAATACTAAGTTGAACATTTGAATATTTATGTTATATAAGTGTGTGTGAATTTTCACTATATGTTGGATCTAAGTACGATATGTTATTTTGGGTTAATATTATATGTTATAACTCATATGTTAGATAAGATATGATATAATTTATGAGGATAAGTGCAATATAATGACTCTTTCTATATTTCCGGGCCAAACCGGGCTAAAACGGTTGACCCATTAACCCTTGACCCACTAGCTCGACCGGGTCCGGGTCAACCCGCGGGTTGACAACCTTGGACCAAATCAAATAGTGCTTTCCTCTTGGTTTATGGACTGCTCTGGTTGAAGTACCTCGAAATGCAACAACCATCAGTACATTTCAACTCGTCGTAAGTTGGTTATCGACTCATCACCAACTCTACAAGATAATGTCACGACCAGAAGTTATAGACCATGTACTTTAGAGCGCACAATCACCAGACTCCAAATCAAAGAGACACTTGCTCCATCTTTACACAGAATTTGAACACTGGGTTCTGGTATATACACATAGATGAAGATTGAAGGAGAACTAGTGAGAACGCCTCAATTTGGCTTGCAACACCAGGAATGGTTTCCCCAATGTCAGCTCGGGTTGGTTCGGTTCCCTTCCCTTTGGTTGTGTTCTTGGTCAGTGGAATGAGATGCATGAACAGATACAGCAACAACAATATGTACACTAAAGAGCAGAAGGTACCTCTCCTCTTAGAGAACGTTTTATGGACTAGCTAAGTGGTTGGTGTATGGCAAATTTTCAGTTCGGATTCTCTGAAAGAGAAGGGAGCCAGAGTTCTACCCTGGTTCCTCCACTACCCAGGACTGCATCTGTGGATCTAGGTGAGATCACACGCACCACACAGCCATAAACCTCCAGTATCTCTCGTGCAACACTCAGACCCGCGATGAAGTTCCATGTCATGTTGTCTTCAACCATGTCATCCGAGAACAACTCTGCCCCAAAAGGTGTCAGAGAATGCATCTGGGTCTGCATAAACACAAAAGATTGCACATGAAAAATATAAGTCTGTGTACTTCGGGTTATATTAGGCAAACAGGATATAAGAAGACAGTGTTCTATATTGGATAGAGTATCTCTCTTTTGACGGGTAGCTACCAAGTCTCCAAGGTTAAACGAGCAAAGAGACAAACACATTTGTAGGTAGCTAACCATATAGTGCATATCTGGGCCATCATCATCGATCATCACAAGAACCCCGCCTCCTGGTGCTCCAGTTGATACGATTTCCACCCTGCCCCCAGCTTGAGTGCGTAATAGAGCTCCTTCGATTAAATTGCTAAGAGCCTGCCGCAGAGCAGGTTCTTCCACTGCAACTTGCAGCGAGGGGGAGAGATCCGCCAATTCCACAATGCGTTGCTGCATATGGGCTAGTGGTTTCACTGCTTCAACCATGTCGGAGAGTACCTCGGATACAATGCATGGTCTTCCTGACACAATTGCAAGCATAAGCAGCAAAAAATTTTCCTTTACGGGCACCTTGAAACATACAAATTACAAGCCTGATGCCACTAGTTATATTATTTAATTAGTCAATTACCTTATTCCAACTGTGTCTAAAGGTGCAAGAGAGAACGGTGGCATGGGCATCTCCAAGTCATTGTCACTAAACTGAAGAGGATCACCTGAATTTTGCAACTTGCTGCCTTTATCTCTTAGTAGGTTCTGTGGTAGTTGAGAACTTGCTCGCTCGGGACTTGTATTTGTTGAAGTGCTGATCCTTTTTAAGGATTCTTCGTTATACCTCATTATATTGGCCTACATAAAGTCATTAACATGAAAATTTGTCAGAAAAGGTTAAACTATCTTGATAAGTACTCTGAGAAAGAGAGAGACAGAGACAATGCGTGCCTTTGTCATGTGAACAGCATCCTGGAGTTCTTGGAGAGTATTTCTCATGTTATCACCCTGTGCAAGTATGTCTTCAACTATGTCATAAGGAATCTGCAGAAAAAGATAAATGATGCATTTTGCAGAGTTGAGATCATGAGAGGAAGAACAAATTGAAGAAAGACATCCCAGTTTAAGCAAAAAATACATACTTCAGTTTTCTTTACATGAACGGTCAACATTTTACTCAATGTTCGAATGCTAGAAAGAGATCCACGAATCTAAAAAAAAAAAAGATCAAAAGTGTTAGCAATGTTCTAGATTGATAGCACAAATCCTGAATGAAAAACATCATACCTGCTCAACCAGGCTACTCATTCTAACATTATTTTGCCATGAGGAGTGCTGTAGCAACATTGCTTTCTGCTCACAGGAAAAACAAACTAAGTCAACCAATTGACATTCCCTGCTTCCTTTTACTTTCGATTGCATTAAGAGAAAAAGAGATTAAGACTAGAACAACACAAAAGTTCAACCATTTTAATCCCCTAAATGCAGCAAGAACGGAGGACTGAAATCTTTCTGTGAACTACCTGATCCATAACATAAGCCATAGCCAGAGAGCGAGAGATATTGATCGCATTCAATCTTTGGTCAGCAGGAAGAAACTTGTGACTGCTAGAATGTAGCTCATCCTCATTGTCATCATCACTCCTCAACCATGGTTCATCTAATCCTGAAGAAGCTTGATAAGCTTTCTCCAAAGAGGGCAAATGCAGCAAGTCTTTCCTTTCACCTTGCACATCAGACGTCACTTCCATCTCCATTTTTGGCAGCTCAGCCACCAAGAACCCAACAACAAAGGGATGTTTCACCATTGGAAACACCACGGCGCTGGGTTCAGATACACATTCTATCTACATACGACCGAAAAAAAGATAGGGTTCATCAATCACTAAGAAGTAAGAAGCAACAAATTTCAATTAAAAGAAATAGGGTTAACAGTTACACATACCTGTCTGCGAGTGAGTGCAGCTTCAGCAGCTCGCAATCCAGTTGCAACGCGGAAATTTCCAATCAACACAACAATCTCGTCGTCAGAATCTGTTCTTGGAACAGAAGCTACCCGCCGCAACTCCAATTGATCCATCACGTAGCTCCCAGCTGGTCTCACATACACCTGCGGGAAACCAGAAATTTTGGAATCGATTGATAACGGCAAAAACGAATCAATGAATTGATTAAGGATCCGAGCAGTAATTTTACCGAGAGCACGGATTCTGGATGGACGATTCTCCGAAAGAGATCCAGCTGTTCGACACAGAGCCTGTGAAAATCAGGGCTCGGGAGTAGCGATTTGCTCTTCTGGTCCTTCTCGATCCGCTGCTCGAACTCCACCGCGGAGGTGGAACCCCGCCGAATGGCCGAGACGATTGCGGAGGCCGACGGAAGCATCGCCTCCTCCTCCTCCGGTTCTGGGCGATCATCGGGATAAGGCGATTGCGTCACGCAATGGAGGTTGCTCGCTGGCGAGGAAGTAGAAGTGAAGGAGAAAGGAGAGGATGGGAGTGTTGTTGTTCGGAGGGAGGACGCGGTGGTCCCGGCGGCGGTGGGAAGCTTGTGAGAGTTCGCGGCGGAACATAAGAGGAGGTTACCGGCGAGTGCGACGGAGGAGTTCGTGGTGGAGGTTATGGAGTTGAGGTTGGAAGGGTAGATGTGAGTGTGGAGAGGTGGGGAGGTGAGAAGCATCATTGGCGGCGATCGGCAGCGGTGGCGGAGAGGTTTAGGTCGTTGGATAAAATGGCCGGCGACGGAGAGATAGCGGGCGGGAGAAAGGGGAGTGAAGGAAAATAGGAAGGCGAGGATGAGTGAGAGAGTGAGTGAGTGAATTGGAAGGTGACGCCAAAATCGTGACACGTTGACAGAAGCTACGAGTGGTTAATACGATGCCGTCGGCGCCTTGACTTGCTGGTTGGAAGTTGGAAGTTGGAACTTGGGACTTTCAAGGAGAAATTCAGAAGGTGAGACTCTTGAGCAATAATATATTTAACTTACACAGTCAAATCTCCCAGTGAGAGGACTTCATGGCCCAATGGATAAGGCGCTGGTCTACGAAACCAGAGATTCTGGGTTCGATCCCCAGTGAAGTCGTCAGGTTGTTTGTATTTTTGTTGTGCGTACTATTAGCCACTGCTTTTCTCCCTGGTTACTAATAACGTTATTATAAGCATCGATATGCACTGAAACCATCTAAAACTTCTAACTTCCCAAACTTTATACACTCCATGTCCATACAACGAAATGTCCATTGTGTTGGAGACAGATAGTAGTAGTATACATGTAAATTGTAATTATGTATTCGTTTACGTAATCACGCTTTAATCCCACTCTGATTATAACCGTGTATAACCTCTTTGAGTCAAAAACCTAATACAGCAACCTCCCAGCCCTTCAACAAGCTTCAGTAATGGGCACAGCAGGATCCGACAGCGACCCGTCCGAAATCCGGTCAGCAACCCACCGATTCGCAGCTTCAGTGTAATGTATATTGTCCCAGCTGATGTACTTGGAAGGATCTCTGCAAGAAGCTCCATACACAACAGTTCCATTCCTCAGCTCAGCCTTCTGCCCACACCTGACCACATAGTCATCCCCCAAGTGGCCGCAACAAAACCCAAGTGGATCTTCAAACCCTGTAATCCATCCAATCCCACAAAGTTTTAGTATCGATTTTGAGCTAGCTAGGGTTCAAATGATGATTTAGATTCATTTTTCGTGCTGTACCGTGCTTTGCAGCTTGGCTGATGAGAGAGTACTTTGCAGAATAGATGTCCACAAGGATGAGCAGTGCATCAGGGAATTGGGTTCTCAGCTTGTAAACTGTTTCATTGAGCTGCTTGTTGAATTCTTGAGCCACTTGGTTAAAGGACTTGATACAGCCAACTGGGTCCTCATTTCCAGGCTTTGGAGGGTACCTAATCACAAAGAATGGCAAGCAGCCGATTGGACCTGTGTTGTGAATCCAAAATGTTCTTGCTCCTTCTTTGTACAGGTTCTGGTATAGAAAAAGTCACAAACAAAATTGATCAGACACTTGATCAAGACAGTTCTGGCACTTACTTCTCCATGAAACAGTCACTGATTTACCTCTATGGCTAGAGAAAAGTTGTTGATGACCATAGGGATGGAAGAAAGAGCACCTTGCTCACCGCCCGGTTCGATTAGGCCAACATGAAGGTCATTCTGCCCACAATCCAAAGTGTAGAGAGCAGATCCGAACCCTTCTGGTTCTGGCAAGCGATGCAGATCAATCCCTCCTCCTGAATCATCATCATTATCCCCCACAAATGGGTATCCAAGAAACATCAAAATTCCTTATGATTTCGAGGAGAAAGTTCTCGGCTTTAATTTTACCTTGTTTCTGCAGCTCAAAGGTTCTATCTTTAAACTGCTGAAACTGCAAGAACTGGAAATTGAGATCTATAGGGCTGAACCCGGCGTCGAATATCCTCCCGCTGGCGGGCTGGATGGTGGCTGCGCTTGAAGCGAAATTGGCGCCGTGGGTGAAGTTGGATTCTATGGAATCCAGGAAGGAACTCAAGTACGGTAGTCCTAGCCTCTCAGCTGCGCCCAAAAAAAAACAGAGAAAAGGAAAAAAAACTCAGATGACGAAGGCTGGCATTGGCATGTGGGCGTGCTCTGTTTTTCAGGTTTAATTGGGTACCCAAGAAATCGATGATTAGCCGGCCGTCGGAATATCGGCCGGACGGTTTGCCGAAGAAAGTCTCGCCGTTGGGGGAGGGAACTCGTCCGAACACCGCGGGTTGGCTGCCGGTGTCGGAATTGGAATCGCCCAAGGTGTACACGGCTGGGAAATGGCAGGGCGAAGTAGAAGCTGATGATGGAAGAAGAAATGAAGACAAGGAAAGTGCCCAAAGTAGGAGTGGAGCCATTTCTGTGATGATCGTTTGATTTTCAAATGGATAAGGCCCCATGGTATGGTGGGAGAGGGATTGTTATATATAAATGAAGTAGGAGTGGTTCCTTTGCCGTCACTGTCGTAATGAGAATTTTCGTCTTCTTGGTTGTAGTCTAGGTAAGGAGGAGAAATCTGAAACGTAATCTGTTAAAAAAAAAAACCAGTATTCCAAATCATCCACTCTCGTGCTCGTGTGTTTGTTGAATATTCATGAAATGGAGATAGTTACGTGATTGTTGTTGCAAGGAGAAGGAGGAAGAAGACTGAAGAGAATTCCAGTGCTCTGTACAATTAATTAATTGTTCATGTGAAGCAGACAATGAGATTACGGGTTATAGATGAACTTTGACGAAGGGTTGTTCCAGAAAGGCATGGAAAAATTACAGAGCAGAAGAATTCCTTGGCAGAATTGAGTTTTGACTGCAAATTCTACACAGCTTTCGGGATTAGAGACGAATAAACAACAGATTAACACAAAAAGAAGCAACAGGGTGTCAATGCACTCAATGATCCTTTCCCTTGAGCTGTTTCCCCATCGCACCCCGCAGAAAAAGAGAAGAAGAAAAACAGAGCAAGGGGAATTAAGTGACACAATACTATCATTATGTTGACTATAGGCAACGAAATTCTAAAACGGTGAAGGACAAATTCCCAATACCTGTGCTGTGATTGATGATCCGTTGGAATGGATGTATTGAGGGGATCCAAGTACTTTACCAAACTGGATCTTTTGTCAGTCAAGGATGAATTCTCTAGATCAAATACAAAGTAGCTTTCAGAACCCACCATACCCACTTTAAGTTCCTTGTAATGCCCTTTGGCTTCACAAATGCACCTGCAATTTCAAGCTTTGTCTTCTTTTACTATATCCTTGTGTATAGCCCTGATGAAGCCAGTCACATAAAACACTTAGGTATGACCCTGACTATACTCAGACAAGACACATTGTACGCCAAATTCTCAATTTGGCCAAAACTCGGATTTAGTACTTAGGTCATGTGATCAACAGCGATACAGGAAAGTGAAGACTACTACAACTAATAGTTAACATGGTGCTAACTCAATAGCCTTAGTAGCACAATATCTGGTCTCTTAAAGAGTACATTTCCGTGGTTGTGGTCATGGTCTTATGGATCATTGTTTTCCAAGAAGTTGTAGTGAAAGGAGTATCTCAATCAACCAAAACAATTAGAAAAGTGATCACTGATCAATAAAATAAGCCAACAGGGAGGTCTGTAAGTCCAAATCATTCTTGTGGAAAGTGAAGACTAGAGAGCAGAGTTTTCAGGAGTCTGTACTCTGTAGAGTAATTGTTCTTGCCAAGAAAGCACACAATGATTGACAACAGGGGAATGAACTTGTTTAAAGGCTGTTCTAGTTGAAAGGCATGGAAAATTACAATGCAGATTGAACTCAACTCCTTGGAAGAAAGTCTGAGAGACAGAGTATGTTCAGTGAAATATTCAAAAGAAAAGACGAGTCCTCGCCTTCCTTCCTACCTACCAACAAATACAGGCTCCTCCTTGCATCAATAGAAACAAATTGAAAACCAAAAATGGTTGGTGGGGAAAAAAGATGAAACATGGGGGCTGCAAATTCTACACAGTTTTTGGGATTAGAAACGAATAAACAACAGACTAACCCAAAAAAAAAACGATGTCTCAATGCTAAGACTCAACGATCCTTTTGCTCTGTTTCCCCAGAGCACTCCCCAAAAACAAAAGCAAAATGAACAACAAGAGAGAGGAAGGGAAATAAGTGAGACAATATTATTTGGTTCTGCTTGTCAAAACCCGATGACAGACTTCTCCCAAGGAATCCCCCTCAACCCCATGCAATTTGCTGCTCTCACCATCTGTCCCTTGATCTTGGCCTGCAGAAAAGGAAACACGGCAACATGATTTACAATCAGGAGAATGAATGAATTCCTGCTTTAAACCACCACCAGTTTCCAAGCTAGCTCTACAAAGATCAACTAGTTCAAGTAAAAAGAGATTGAGAGAACGAAAAGAAGCTCTGCAGCATTATTTTCACTGAATTCCCATTTACGTGCAGCAGATGCATGTCTCAAAACAGCGTTAACAACAACATACAGTCTCAACGGCCACTGAAGATTTAGGCATAATACTATACATGTGCTTCTAATTCAACAGCGTTAACAACAACATACAGTCTCAACGGTCTAAGAACTGAAATAAACATGCAGAACACGGCTACTGTCGCTATATGAGGTGCAATGACCAAGAGTAGAAATTCACCTGTCGAAGTCTCTGCTACCCAGAAATCCTCTTTCCCTGCCACCTTGATACGACCTTCTCTCATCAACGGGCCTTGTATTTATATCTTGTGCACCGCGCGAACGAGGTCTGTCGATAAACTCGGCATTCCTGGACTCGTCAACTGATCCAGTGCGAGAAGGAGGTCTGTTATCGTAGAAACCGCCAGTCCGTCCTGCTCCAGAACCAGGCCTTTCAAAATGTGGTTTCTGCGCAAATCGAAGCTTGTCGTCCAATTCACGGGTCAGTGTCTCTAGTTCCTTCTCTTTCTGACTTATTACATCTCGTAAGCTGGATTGATCATTTCCATCGGACACCGGTGCAGGTTCCTTGTTCTCTTCCACTGAAGCTTCTTTCTGGAGTTCCTGCTTTAGCTGATTTATTTCTTCTTTCAGCAATTTTTCTTCTTCCGTTTCAGGTCTGCAGTGTCTCTTAGAGTTAGATATGGCAACAGATGGAATAACTAACAACAGAGTTAAGACTGGCACAGAAAGGAGAAACCCAGGATTATGACAATAAGTGCTATGGAAAGGCAACAGCATGTCCATGAATAACTGCACAAAATGAGCTCGAAACACAACCTTATTCATAAATGGAAGAGGTGAAAAAGCCACAACGATCCCTAGAAATGTACAACACATTTTGTATACTATGCTTTACACAGAAGACTAATCAGTGTAAATAAAAGGAAGGTGTTTGACATGAGATTCCGAAATTCAATCAATGTCTGCGGCTCAACTAGCAAAGCCATTCGCCTTAAAATTAGTGTTTGGGGTAATGTGACAGATTTCTTGCTTCAAGATAGCTTGAAAATCCCTTTGACAAAACCAAGCAGATGTGACCACCTGAACCCTAACTAACCAACGTAACACTACTGGAATAAACATTATGGTTCAGGGTGCTTGCATATCCATTCCGTTTAAAAATGATGCACCAACTTCAATAAAGATACATAAGAATGTCTAATAGACAAATTGGTTACCCTGTTTACTTCAGAGAACATGGGGAAATCTATGTGTTTTGATTAATATGGCTTGTTTAGGTGCAATTATAACATCATCATATCCTAGTAAGCAGAACATATATATCTAGTAATTTCATTGTTAGCTTCATATGAGTATCTATGCTTTTAGTTGGAGATGAATTGTTCATGCATTAATATAACACAGCATAATAAGCCAAACTTATTCAGCAGTTTCTTGGTAGTTTCACATGAACTTCTATACTTTAAGCTTCACAGGACTTCTTCGTGTGTTAATACAGCATACAATATAATAAGCTAAACTTACTCTTTAGTTACCGATAATAAGAATGCAGTATAGAGGACCCAAGTGACATAAACTACGATGAACTCTGAACCAATACCACCGGGAGGATGGACAGGTAACCATATCACAGCGCTCTAACTCTTAGTCATCTAAATGTAACATCTAATTCTTTTCTTCCACGTCCAACAAAAGAATGTAGATGGCTCTTATAACTTCCAGGACTAAAGACGGCAAAAAAAAAAAAAAAAAAAATGCTACAGCTTTCAAGACTAAACGAATCGTAAAACACAAGCTTTTAAGTTCTCCCCGTCCCTTCCAAGGGGTAGCATAAACACTTGACAGTCAATAGCTTCAACAGCATCACAGATCACCACAATCATCCTAAATAACAAGAAAGTCACAGTTAACACAGACCTGTCAATGCTGCGATGCTCCAAATCACGATCAATTTTTCGCCAGTCCTGCCCTCTTTCCTGCAACAACACTTCTCTGGGCTTCGCATCACCAAAGGGATTCACTTTTGGTCTAGCTGGTCTCGCCAAATTTTCCAACCCCTGCTGCAGTAACCCAGCTGGAGCAGCCTCAGACCTGCTGGAATGTGCACTCGAAGGCCTGCTGGAATGAGCGCTTGTTGGCCTGCTTGATTGGGAAGAAGTCTTCTTCGTTTCAATATCATTTTCAAGCTTCCTCCAATCCAACCCTTTCTCGGCCAGTACTTGCTCCCTCGGCCTCGCCGCCCCAAATGGGCTTGGCTTGTTCGTCTTGATTGCCTCAGTAGGTGAGTCGGTCACTGCCGCAACATCACTTTTGGGAGGATTCAAAACCAATCTCGGTCTCTCCGTCGCCTCCAGCTCACGGATTCCTTCACCTCTAGTCCACCGATCAGGCTCCGGCCCAGAAGTACGGAACCCAGACCCAAAGTTCGAAGGTCTAGAAGGAGCAGCCGCCGGCTTCTTACCAGAAGCCCAGTTATCCACATCATCAGCCCTCGAGGCACCTCCCATGCCGCCGCCGCTGCCGCTGCCAAGCGACGCATACCTACTCTGACGGCCAGAATCCATCGACGGAAGAGCCTTCTTCCCCATTGCCCAATTGTCCGCTTCATCAGCTCGCGAAGGCTGATCGAAATCCGAAACCCTAGGAGGACCCCGCCGCTCGTCATCGTAACCACCGCCATACTGCCTCCTCTCACCACCACCACCGCCCCACGACCCGCCATCGTTGAAATCGTCCCGGTTCCTTCCGGGTGGAGGGCCGCCGGAGCGGCCGTAACTGGAGAACCCACGGGTCCCGTACTGCATTTCGTCCGGGTCGCGCTCGCGTGGGCCTGTGGGGAGACGGAGCATCTCGTCCGGAGTGAGCCCCTTGGACGCGACGGGACGGTTCAAGGTAGCGCTGGAGACGGAGTAGAACTCATTCAGGCTCATCTTCTTCTTCTTGGGCTTCGCGGTGACGGACTCGCGGAGGCTTGGGAAGCTCTGGGAGTTGGCCGGTGCGGCGGCGGCGGCGGCGACGGAGGAGGCTGCTGCTGCGGCTTCCATTTCCTCTTCCTCTCGCTCGGCCTCGGCGGCCCAGGTGCCGATGTTGCCCCACGGTTTCGACATTGGGAGGGATTCGAGATCTGAACAATGGAGGAACGATTAGGGTAAGAGAGAGAGCGAGTGAAGGAGATGGGTTGATCGAAATCGAGAGATTGGAGAAGAAGGGAAGATGGGGATTCGGTGGGGCGAATTGGATCCGAGCTGGGGCTCCGTTAAGGGAGCCGGAGCTCCGAGAACATGCGAAGGGGGAAATAGTAGAAGATGAAGAAGAGGAGAGGAAATGGAATTGGAAACCAAGGAGCGAAGCAGCGCTTGTTTGCTTATGTCATGTGTGGAGGAAAGAGTGGCCGATTGGTCTTTGGCCCGTTTGGTTTCTTTCGTTTTTGTTAAAAAGAAAATCAGGTGTGGGATTGGTCCTATAAGTTAGTGTTTATTCACATTACGGTCACCTAAATTTGTTATTGTTTATAGATGAGCGACTTATGGGCTGGGGTCCTTGGGGGTATAAAATCATTTTAGTCCGGTTTTGGATAGTCGAGCTAAATTCGGTGACAAATTAAAATTGTAGTGAGAGTAAATGAGAGAATTTGTATAAATAGATGTAGGTTTTCAATAATTATGAAACGAAAAAATTGTTTCGGATGTGAAATAACTAACCAGAGGAAAACAGAGAGTCAGAAGATACAGAAGGCGAAAATCGAACCTCCAATGTAGGTCGATGATGTGGAAGGTGGAAGCAAAAAGCATAGCTATGAGCATGAAAGATGAAGTCGTTCATCTTCTTCTTTTGATGTGTGTTCGTCTTGTCTTCTTCAAGTCTAAATACACACGAGGCTGAAATAATGTGTAAATTCTCTAATGATTTGTTTCTTTGAGTAATCACGGCGGAATAAATGGAAATCGTCACCGAATTTACAATATCGGTTGGGTCTCTGGTAGGCCTGTCAATTCGGTTTCGGGTTTTCGGTTTAACCCGAACCCGAACCGATATGCACAGTGCCGGTTTTGGTTTTTTCGGGTTCAACCCGAAACACACTACATCGGTTTCGGTTTACCAAAACCCGCAAAACCCGATACAGTCACTCTGTCGTTTTGAACTTTTGAGAGCAACCCTACCCTTAGCCTTCACCTAGTGTTGTCGCCGCCGTTTCTTCGCTTTTGGCAAACCTAAACTAAACAGAGCGAGACGAAACAGAGACAGAGCCTCCTCGCCGCCATCATCGTCCTCGCCGCCAGCGGCCTCGTGAGGATCTCCGACTGCCATCAAATCCGTCGCCGGCCGCCACCATCAACGACGACGAAGAGCCAGAAGAGCCAGATCCACCCATCGACGACGAAGAGCCAGAAGCAGACGACAGGGTGCAGAAGTTGAGATTGGCGATTTCACGAGCAACTCCTCTAGGTTCGAAGCTTCTGCCTTCGGTCACATCCTAAATCACCGTACAAAACAGACATGGAATCCCAGTAAGCTCCTTTTACCTTTCCTGAATTTTGATTTTGATTGGCATCCACTTGCTGTAGGGGTTCTGATTTCTTCTCTGCTTGCAGTCAGTCAGTCGTCGTTTCTGTTCTATGATTAATTTAGTTTCGAATTTAGCATCTGGGTTTTCGCCGTGTTTGTGCTTAGTTGTGATATTGAATGTGGATTGCTGTTGCTGTTGAGAGATGGAATGGCGTAACAGGGCAACAATGACGAATTTAAGCTCCCACTTTCACATCTTTTCCACTGAACAAAATCCCAACCCTTTTGTCTCTTCCCCTGCCTCCTCCGCCATTGCTAGAGACTGGTCTAAAACAGAGGGTTAATATTTGAAATGGGCTTGCTCTCGAAATTTGACCACTATTTTCACTTTCTTATTTGCTGGATTAGGGAGTTAGGCTTCCTGTTTGGCGAAGTGGGTTTTGATTTTGTGCAAGAAAGATCACAACTTTCGTTGTTTCTCTTTGGGGCCAATACTTTACTAGTTACTTTAATCCGCCATCATCAGCAGCTGGTATAGCTAATAGCTATTGCAAATTTGGGTGTTTCAGATTAGTCTTTCTATGTTGCTCTGTGTTCGTGTGATTGAACCTGATAGGCTGGGGAGGTGGATTGTTTGGCAAATTGGGTTGGGATCCTGTGCTTGGATGGCGGTTTGGTTGGGGCACTCTACAGTTTAATGGGGCTCAGTAGATTTAGATGTTGATCAACCATCTGCTTTTCCTCTGTAATTGAACAGTCCAATGGTTAATTCTTGTTGTTAGTAGATGATGGTGATCGAATCAGATTGTAGATCCAGTATATGCAGCTTTTCAAGCTCGGAGTGCAAGTATATGCAACTAGTTTGTTTGTGTGAATCTAACAAGTTGTTATTGTTTATGTTATCCAGTATATGCAGCTTTTCAAGCTCGGAGTGCAAGTGCACCTGCAAGACCTAGTGGAAGCTCTCGTGCAGAACCTAGTGGAAGCTCTCCTGCTACCCATGTTTTGGTCCCGAGTCCTACTATGTCACAAGTGGAAGAAGACTATGTCGACGACAATTCTGATGAGAATGATGAGACTTATGTAGATGTAGAGCCTGATGAGGAGTGATATGGTAGTAGTGTTTATCTTGTATGGTGGATGGATTTTTATTTTACTTGGATGTTATCATTTGAGAATTGTAAAACTAATGTGTTTAATTACGAGTTGAAGATAATCTCATCTATGATTGTCGGTATTTTATGTTGAACAAAATTATTTATAATTTTGCGCCAAACACCACATATTTTTTTGCATATGATAGTTGATATACCTTCAATTTTGGACCTATGGTATGACTAAAATATTTAATTATACGAAAATTCACAATTAAATAAGATATGATTAAGTTACGTATAAAATATATTTAAGTATTTTACTTTGTCTCTAAACTACTAATACTCTTTAATAGTTAATAGTATGTCTATAGTTATAGAATACATAAAATTAAATATTTTAATAATTAACTAATATTTTAATAATAAACTAATATGTAAATATTAATTTTATATTGTCCACGTCCCATAAAATTAAACATAATGGTTAAATAAGAATGTACAAATAATAAGAATAAAATTGTTTGTACAAGCAAAATAATGTAAAATTCAAATCACAAAAGCAAAAAAAAAAACTCAAACGGTTCGGTTTTGGGTTCACCCGACCCGATCCGAACCCGCCAGCATCCATTTCGGGTTCCAGAACCCGAAAACCAACAGAGAGCACTTCGGTTTCGGTTTCGGGTTGTGGGAGTCGGGTTCGGATTTTCGGGTTTTAACGGGTTTCGGGTTCGGTTACCCGACCCGAACGGAGCCGACAGGCCTAGTCTCTGGGTTGTGGGCTAGGCTGGAAAAGGGGGAGGGTGGCCTATGCTAGGAATAGTTGTTGCTGTGATTTGGTTATGGCATTTGGTCTGCGGTCAACCATAAAATTGCCAAAATTCAAAATAACCATAGTTTTGCAACCCTAAATAACGACTTGTAAATAATCAGACCCCATTAATTATGGTTTAACCCTAACGAAACCAAAAGTCAAGCATTAGCCATTCCATTGCTGATTGCATCTCTTTTTTTTTTTTTTTTGACGGGGACTGATTGCATCTCTTGACCAACTAATTTGTGAAAAAATATAATTTATTGTCATTGTATATAAGCTTTGTTAGCTTATTGAAGTTTTTGGTGAGTAACTGGACAAAATGATAGAATTTTTGAAATTATAAAGGATTAGCATCAAGCCATCAACCACGTTAAGAATTGATATCGAGAATTGATATCAAACTACGGTAAAAATTTTAAAGGATTAGCATCAACCACGTTAAGAATTGATATCGAGAATTTGAGTATTTCATATGCTATGTATTTGTTCCAGTGAGGATAATCGTTATTCTTCATTTTCATTGAGTCCGGAAAATCCGAGCATCTAATGAAATAGATAAAGAGAGAGGAACATTTAAAATAAACATACGTCGAGAGCCCATTGTTATCAATTGCTTGGAGAAAACGTAAACCTAACCCATCACAAGTTAGGTTGTCTCGGGCTGGGAAACGGTGCGGTCTGGTCTAGACCAGACCATATATACGGTCTATGGTCCAGACCAAGAGGCTAAAGTATAGACCACAGACCAGACCACAGACTATACGGTCCGGTCCAGACCACGCCTATGCTGTCTGGTTTGGTCTGGTCTAGTCCAGATAGACCACACTCAACGAAAAATGAATAATTTGTTTAGTCAACCACACAAAAAATTGAACCAATAACCAAGAAAAATAATTGTTATTTGCCTTAAAACATTAATCCTAACATGTATGAATAATTTTTATACTCTAAATCTTAGTACATAACAAAGATACAAAGTAAAAGCATCCCAACTTGCACCATAACGTCATAAACATTAACATAATGTCATATGCATACACGATTATCTCTACTCTCTGGTTAAATGTGGTTGTGAATGAAGGAGGGACGAGATTCACAAACCTAAGGTTGAGACTTGAGTGTCGTTGTGGGAGTTGGGAGAGTGGTCGAATGGGTTGTTAACACGTATTGACATGTCAGTTGGGTCCACGGTTTGGTCCAGTAAACCACGGTCTAGACCAGACCAGACCAAGAGATCAAAACATAAAATAATACAGACCATGGACCAGACCAAACCATACTTAACGGTCTACGGTCCGGACCAAACTGTGCGGTATGGTTTTGGACCACGGTTTTTCTAACAGTCTGGTCTATTTTCCCAACCCTAAGCTAACACTCATTTTTCCTAAGTAAGCCAAAAACGCTCATTCAAATATGCGACTACTTTGTTATTATTCGTTGATAAGTTCAAATAAATTCATCGCTATGGAACATAATTCTTTTTGAAAATGAGTTGATTTAATTCCATTGGTGATTGAAGGACAAGTTGAGCTCAACTATAGTATGAAAATATAAGATCAATGATATTAATCGATTAATTTGGAGGATTCCACTAGTTATAGCTTTGAGCACCCAATCCACACCCTTGTTTTAAAGACGAGGCATGAAGGCGATCCACAACAAGTCATTCTATGAATTTGATATTGATAGATTGATTAACTTCAACTTAGTGACAAACATTGTAACTATCTTGTAACAAGTTTCATATCACAACTTTTACGAATAACGAATCAGTCCAATTTTGGTAGGCGCATGAAAACATTAGTTGGAGGAGTAAGGTGGTTATATAAGATGGAATAAAAGACCGATTTGCATACAAAAAAAATAAATGTGTGGAGAAGAAAGATAGGAATGGTGGTTTACTGGTTTTGAAGAAAGGCGGGAGGCTCGAGTAACGAGCAGGTGGGGGAGAATAAGCCGGGTGACGGCACCAATGAGAATCCACAAAATGTTTTTTTCT